CCTGTCGTCCCGAGCCAAACTTTTTCCAGATGAAACCATAACAGATGCCTTCCAACAGGAAGGCTCACCTTGGTCAATGTCCTGGCTGTTGAGGCTAGGTGATGGTGAGGTACTTCTTCTTTTACTGTTTACAATATCGGAGGCCGTCCGCCCTGAAATGTCGTATCAGCAACTCACAGGCTGAATACAGAGATATTGAGCTCAATCTACCTTATTGACCTAGATGGTAGTTGACCCCATAGGAAAGTTCATCCGCTTTTTAATATTTAATGTCTTTAATGATGTTCGGTGTCTAGCCGCTACCTCACCAAAATGCCTGTGGAGGCAACCGGCTAAGTCGCGGATGATTCGATTTGTGACAGGCAACAGTGAGTTACATGGTTTCCAGCCGCACCCGTATTATGATATTATATAAAATATGAAAATAAGACGGAAATATATGATTGTATAAAATGTGTATATGTGTGTGTTAAGAAAGAGAAAGAGAGAAAAAGGCAAATAAAGAGATAAAGAAGAAAAAGAGATAAAGACATGAAGGAATCGAGAAAGAGAAAAAGAGATAGATAGATAGATAGATAGATAGATAGATAAAGAGAGATAAATAGAGAGAAAGAGGAGAAATAAATAAATAGAGAACGAAATATAGATAAAGATAGAAATAAAGAGAGAGAGAGCGAGAAATAGATAAAGAAAAAGAGAGAAAGAGAGAAAGGGAGAAATGGATAAAGAGCGATAAATAGATAAAACAGATATAAGGAGAGAGAAACATATAAAGAAAGAGATAGAGAGAAAAATAGATAAAGAGAGAGAGAAAGAGATAAGGAGAGAGAGATAAAGAGAGAGATTAACTGATAAAGAAATAACGAGAGAGAGAAAACGATAAAGAGATAAAGAGAGAAAAATGGATAAAGAGAGAGAGGAAGAAATAGAGAGAGAGAGAACGAGATAAAGAAAGAGAATAACTGATAAAAAATAAAGAGAGAGAGAGAAAACGATAAAGAGATGAAGAGAGAAAAATCGAAAAAAAGAGAGAGAAAGAAATAGAAAGAGAGAAAAAGATAAAGAGAGAGATTAACAGATAAAGAAATAAAGAGAGAGAGAAAACGATAAAGAGATAAAGAGAGAAAAATCGATAGAGAGAGAGAGAAAGTAATAGAGAGAGAGAAAAAGATAAAGAGAGAGATTAACTGATAAAGCAATAAAGAGAGAGAGAAAACGATAAAGAGATAAAGAGAGAAAAATCGATAGAGAGAGAGAGAAAGTAATAGAGAGAGAGAAAAAGATAAAGAGAGAGATTAACTGATAAAGAAATAACGAGAGAGAGAGAGAAAACGATAAAGAGATAAAGAGAGAAAAATCGATAGAGAGAGAAAGAAAGAAATAGAGAGAGAGAAAAAGATAAAGAGAGAGATTAACTGATAAAGAAATAAAGAGAGAGAGAAAACGATAAAGAGATAAAGAGAGAAAAATCGATAGAGAGAGAGAGAAAGTAATAGAGAGAGAGGAAAAGACAAAGAGAGAGATTAACTGATAAAGAAATAAAGAGAGAGAGAGAGAAAACGATAAAGAGATAAAGAGGAAGAGAAGAATTTATTTAGTTATTACCTGAGACCGAGAAAAATAAACAGTAAAAACGAAAAAGAGAAAAAACAAAAAAAAAACAAGAAACAAACAAAAAAAAAAAACAACAAAAAAACATCATTGTCCTTTCACTAACGAAAAAAAAAAAAAAAGCTCCCCGGTCACTACTGTATCTTAGTCTTTCATATATCCTTAGATATTTGTTTGGAAAAAGTCCAAATCTCATGGCATAGTTTAGAGCCAGATATCTTCTGGCATCATTCGGAACCATGGCACTAGTTCAGTATCTTTTGTGTTCTTCCTCGCTTTTAGTGGGGTAAAGAGTATGCGCACAGAGTTTGTAGTTAGTTTGAACAAAAAGACGATTTGTTTGGCATAAACTGTTGGAGGGGCATCTCTATTAAGGCCTCCGAATACAACCGACACGCATTGCCATTTACTATAAAGCACATGAACTAGTTTATTTGCTTACAATGCGTGTTTTGTGTCCAAAAAAACAAAAAACAAAAAAACAAAACAATATAAAACATTCGTTATCCTTTTGTGAGGCGGTTTGAGATGATTTTTCCATTTTAAGATTCTGACCAAGCAATATAAGGACCAATTATTCATTCTTTTGTTTTAAATGTTCATATCAATTCTATTGTTTAAATGTTCATACCAATTTAAATGTTTGTTTTCAATGTAAAGGCTTACGGTCATACCCCATCGGAACACCAGTTCTAGGACGATTACCGAAGTTAAGCAACATCGAGCCTTGTTAGTACTTAGATGGGTGACTGTTTGGTAACGCCAAGCGCTGTAAGCTTGGCCATGCAGGCCCTAGATAAAAATTAACTTTTTTTTTCCCAGAAACTTTACTTTTTACTTCATATTATGTAAACATTTCAATAGTATCCAGTTTCTGTTTTAGTTTTAATAATTTTTTCAATTGTCTTATGATTTTGTAGACATCCTGTGTGCGTACACGCACACACGCAAACACGCACGCCCACACACGCAGACACGCAAAAACACACACGCAAAAACACACACACACACACATATATATATACATATATATAATACATTTGGGTATGTAATCCAGACAGAATTATATGTCATTGACATTTGGTAAAACGTTCATGAATGTATGTTTCGAAAATCATATCCGATAATGCATTTCGCCTCTTTGGCTTCATCAGATGAATAACGAAAAATGTGTTATGTTTGTATGTATTTGTCTGTGTTTGAAATCATTAAATCTTATATTATTTTTCCCAGGCTGAAGTTGCTCGAATTATATTATTAAATGGATTAAGTCCGACTATTACTTAATATATTTTCTGTTTATATTTAACACATACAATTTAGTTAAGTAAATGCTAAGTTTTTCTTTAAAGAAACCGTATTAATTATATTTGGGGAAAGATCGTCGCAGATTTGTTGTTTATAAACAGTATTTCAGACTTTGCTAACTAGTTACTTCTTTGTGGATGAATGATTAACAGCACACCAGGTCAAATCATGGTTCCCATTGGGTTACAGGATCGATTCTTGTCGGAGAAGCACGTATATTTTCTACGAAATTTCTCGAACTTTCATGATGGTAAATGTAATTAATGCTGTCTATATAATAATAAAAAAAAAACAGAGCAATTTACTTCAATAAATTATATCTATAAAAATGACGTATAAACAAAAATATATTATATATATATATATATATATATAATTATTTATTTAAAAAATATGATTCCAACTCGCGACATAAGAGGTCTCATATTTCAAAACAAGAGCCGAAAACTTCAATATAATTATTTGAATTAAATTGAGTTAAAGTAAGCTCTGTTCCATCTTCAAGCGAATTTTTTTTTTTTGGGGTGGGGGTATAACGTATTTCTGAAATTTACGTGTTTTAATAATTGAAATCAAAATTTCCATGGTAACAGCTAGGGAGAATTGTTTAAATTGGGTAGGCGTGTGTTGGATGTTAATAATAAGTATCAGTATAGAGTTACTTTCATAGATGTCAAGTCAGGGTAAGGTGAGGGTGTCTAAATTTGAAACGGAAGATGTTTTAGCCTAGTCTGGTGTACGTGTCTATGGAGATTTATTTATTTTTTTTATTTTATTTCTTTATGAAAGGGATTTGTGCATAAAAAAAAAACCGCTGTAACATTTTTTTTTGAAGAATTCATAAAGGGTTATCTTTTTTGTAGGGTATTGTTGTGTATGATACACCTAATTTACATAAGCGGACTACCGACCATATAAATATGGGTTGGTACCGGAAGACGGGGAAGATAGTAGAGATTAAGAAATTGAATCCAGAGACTCTGCCCGACTGCGATTTAGTCAACCCATTATGCAGGAACAGTCTTCCCAAGAATATACCAAACTAACTGTAAATATTGTGTACCTATTCTTTGTTTCAATACATTTTGTTAACGTACATTTTGTGTTGTATTATTCCATGCTTATTTAAGCTTCAACAGGTATTTAAACTATTTATTTGGGCTATGGATTATAAAAGTTATTATATTGTAAGCTTGTTTTTAGCTAATTATTCAAACCATGAATTTGATGATGTCGACAAAAAACCGTTAACTCATGTCTATTGTTTAATAGATTATTATTATTTAGAAACTTAATAATGTGCAGTTTCTCATGGAGGCACAAAGGGCATGGGTCATCCCAAGTTTTACATGTTCTAGCTTGTTGGAATCATATTTTTAAATAAATAATTATATTCACGCTCTACTTTTGTATCGAGCACTATTTTTAAAAAATAATAACTAAGATACTAAGGAACTTTGGATTATTTACCTAACCAGTTCTTTCCTATTTTCTATATATTTTCACACACACACACACACACACACACACACACACACACACACATATATATATATATATATATATATATATATATATATATTTCATCGGATATATATATATATATAAAGTTTTATATATAAAAGTATTGTGACGGGTTTCATCCGTTAGGATTTCATCGGACTGGGTTTTGTTAATGTTGAGCATAAAATGAGAGATGCTGGTACTTTCAAAATTTTTGAAAAATTTAAACTACCAGCGTCTCCCGTTTCGTGTGCATGTGTAGAGATGACAATTTGCACAAAGCCCAGTCCGATTAAATCTTAACGGATGAAATGCGTCACAAAAAATTTCTTGTCATACTTTTTTTCTAAATATTCTGGGTTGATATGTAAAATTGTATATCTTTATATATCTTGATATGCATATATATATATATATATATATATATATATATATATATATATATATATATATATGTATATGTATGAATGTATGTATGTGTGTGTGTGTGTGTGTGTAATGAACGTTAGCCAAGTGGTCAGAACTTTCGTTACATTGACCCGTGTACGTTCATCAGGAATAGGAGGCGGTCCCAGCATGTCGATCATTTTGAAAGTGCTTGAAACTCATACAATGGTTTGAGCGAAGCCTACTAAGTGAATCTGGGTAAGCAGGACTTTTCGGAAGTTCATCGATGGGAGGGTCTGTGGCCCCTGAACAGGCACAGTTGTGTCTGCGACAGGAATACTGTAGAAGTCCGAACAGACACGTGTGCTCGGAAAATTCCACTAGTCAGCCATTATGTTTCTCCGTATATATTTCAACAAAATAATGCTATCTTTATTTTAGCGGTATCATTGCATAGATAGTTATTAATATTTTAATTACTTTTCTTCTATCAATATCGATTTAATTTTCTTTTTATGATTTGTAACCAAAAGTAATATCTAAAAATCGGATCAGTAATATTGGGGTGAATTCGAACGCAGTCTCTATCGTTTCTGGAGAATGGTTTAGTGAACATTTTAATGTAATCTTAAACAAAATCTTACTGTCATGAATTGTGTTTGCTGTGCTTACTGGAAAAGAAATACATCTAAACATAATCCCATCGTTATAATTTTATCTATAGATCGTTAGATTTGCTATTTTTATTATGTGTCCTATCTTCAATATCTTTGTTTGTCGAGAAGTCGACTCTTGCGTCGATTTCAACCTATGCAGCCTCACAATTTCGGTGAGACGTAGGCATAGATTATTTGATTATAACGGTGAAGTTTTGTGACGAAAAACACTGATCTTTCAGAATTGATAACAAGTGTTACACTATTTGTCACCAAATTTATGAACGAACGCGTTAATGATCTGCCTAAGAGTATACTCTAATCTTTTGTGAATATCTATGCCGATGATACTACAATATATGAATGCACCTACAAAATTCTAGATGATTTCTTGGCATTTGATCTCTCCTCTGAACTAGCTCTAACAAATCGACGCGGCGAAAAACTGGCTGCTTATATTCAATACCTTAAAAACTAAAATAGTAACCTTCTATCATCAATAAGCAGACCCTAATCTATGTTTATTTCAATGAACAGATATTCTCTCAGGGAGGCGTCTTGCTTTGAACGCTTATTGGGACTGAAGCACACTCCAGAAATCAAGTGGAACAGATACTCTCTCAGCGAGACGTCTTGCTTTGAATGCTTATTGTAACTGAAGCCCACTCCAGAGCTCAAGTGGAACAGATATTCTCTCAGAGAGACGTCTTGCTTTGAATGCTTATTGTAACTGAAGCCCACTCCAGAGCTCAAGTGGAACAGATATTCTCTCAGCAAGGCGTCTTGCTTCGAATGCTTATTGTAACTGAAGCCCACTCCAGAGATCAAGTGGAACAGATATCCTCTCAACGAGGCGTCTTGCTTTGAAAGCTTATTATAACTGAAGCCCACTCCAGAGCTCAAGTTGAACAGATATTCTCTCAGGGAGGCGTCTTGCTTTGAACGCTTATTGTAACTGAAGCCCACTCCAGAGCTCAAGTGGAACAGATATTCTCTCAATGAGGCGTCTTGCTTTGAATGCTTGTTGTAATTGAAGCCCACTCCAGAGCTCAAGTAGAACAGATATTCTCTCAGCGAAGCGTCTTGCTTTGAATGTTTATTCTGACTGAAGCCCACTCCAGAGCTCAAGTGGAACAGATATTCTTTCAGGGAAGGGTCTTCCTTTGAACGCTTATTGTGACTGAAGCCTACTCCAGAGCTCAAGTGGAACAGATATTCTCTCAGCGAGGCGTCTTGCTTTGAACGCTTATTGTGACTGAAGCCCACTCCAGAGCTCAAGTGGAACTCGTACACGATCAATCACTAGAATAATATTTGATTCTCAGTACCGCTCGAGAAAGTAGCTGACTTCACTTGCTATCAGCTACATTTAAAAGAGCCATATCCGTGTGGTTGATGAATTATTTTCTAATCTACAACACATTTTCTTACAGACATTCGTTACTCTGGCATTATTTCCATAGAGAATGTTCAGAGGAGCTATATTCCTTAGTTCCACCAACTTTAACCCTAACAGTTATTCACGCCACACCACGTACACTAAGGCAGACCACGGCCATTGTGCTAATATTATATTAGTAAGAAGTTTAACTGAAACAGCTTCTTCCAACGTATCGTTACTTTGTGAAACCGACTCCCAAAACCATGCTTTCTTGCCCACTAAATTCATAACTTGTTCAAGTCTAGGGTTAACCGCTATCTTTCTGAAATAGCCCCATAAAATCTGACTCTTTCCACTTACTTTTACCATTCATCAAAAAATCTTTTTCAGCATCACTCTACCTTGAATTGCTCTTGTGCCTTGTATGGAAAGAACATCAGTAAAAAATCGAATGACGCAACTACTTGATAAATTTCAGCTAGAAACACTGACAATATATGCATTCGTAGCCCTGTCTTTGATTAATTATTTTCCACCGTAAAATCCAGTTTCCCACAGCCGAAACGCTGCAGGCTACTTCCGTCTGTATTGCTGGATCCACGAAGAATCTTCAGACGATCTACATTTCTTAGTTCCACGAACTGATACACTCAGAACTAAGACCCAAACCGCCGCGTACACCAAGGCGAACTCATCCTGTTCACATCATACTCCATTAGCGAGAAGTTAAACTCGGACAGCTTCTTGTGAAAACGGCTCCCAAGAAGACGGGTACAATTCTTTGTTCACATCGAGGTTTAACCGTTTTCTTTCTCACATATTCTTATAAACTACGGCACCGACCTCTTACAGTAACCCTCTACCTTGATTGGCTCGTGGACCTTGTATATGTTGAACATTAGTACAAAGACAAAGGCGATTCCTGTGTCGAGTAGTTTTTATTCAGATTCAATGGAAATAAGATTAGCAATAAATAATGCGTGATACTAGAAAAAGAAGAAGACACGATACCTCTTGCAAAGGACAACGAAACGAATAAAATCTGGTCCCGTAGTTTTTTTTTTAAATAAAGGTCTTAGCTCGAAATCCCTTGAAAGTAACTCGAATCGACACGAAGAAGAAAAAAAGGAGCAGATTGGCTAAAGACATTTGTTCATCTGTAGATAATCTAAATATAGATAAGTCTTCATTGCAGAAATTCACATAAAAAAAATGATTAACACCCACGGAAAACTAGCGAAGTGAATTAAAGCGTTGGTTTATGAGTTTGTTGACATAGTACACCTTTGTGCAAATTAATTGAAACAAAACTAATAATTCCGTTATTATTTATTTCTTTTCATTTTTCCAATGAAACATGACCCAAGGTCCACTCCACGATGCCTTTATTTGCAGATTGACCACAGACACTCGATTGGATTTAAATCAGGAGAGTTTCTGACTCAGTCTATAGTACTTTGATATGCTCACTGGTTAGGCTTGCCAGTGTGCTCGTGCGGCGTTACAGTTTTCGTACACATACACAAGTCGCGACAATAGTGTATAGGCATGATAAAAATAGGATACAATCAAGGATAACGCAATATTTTTTAAGGCTAAACAAGTTTTATCATAAACCCCGAAAATAGATTCATATTACTTTACACCACTGCAAATAACCTAACTTGAAATAAAATAGAAATCTGTTACACCCTGTCACTCCAGTAGCTCTAAAACTGACGCTATGGTGAATGAAAGGAAATTAAAGCGGTTGTTGCAATCAATTTGCAAAAGGGTGGAATTGTGTGCCATTATACCATCTACGAGATTGGAATAATTTATGTGTATTTGATTAATTTTTGCTTATTAAATTATTATTTAATATTTCACCTTCTTATATGTCTCTGTGCAATCACCTAAACACCGAGACCAAACAAAAACAGAATATAACGCTATTTAATTATTACATTCTAACAAAAAAACTAGGGATTACACAGATTGAAAGAGAATGAGAAGAATTTAGTGTGAATAAAGGACCATGTTCTTCTTTATGTGCCGTGTCCCTTCGACCATAGCTCTCCCCTCCTCCTGTCCCTTGTAGCTCTTAATAAGTTTTATCTTTTTATTATTTCTCCCAGACTCTGTTCCGCCATGCACTTGCTAAAGCCTATCCTTTCTCATTACATATCCCAGAAAATTCAGCTGCCTCTTCCTGATGTTAAGTATAAGTTTCCTCCTTGTTTCCATCCTCTCCAAAAGCTCGTCGTTGGTCACATGTTCGGCGCATGGTATCATTAGCATCCTTCAGTAGAACCACACTTCTGTTGCTTCGAGTCTCTTCTTCTTCTTCTTTGAGGAGATTGTCCAGCATTCGCTGCCATACAGGAGGAAAGATATTACGTAGCAGTTTAATACTCTTTTCTTTGTTTCCAACGAAACTTTCCTGTCTCGTAACACTCTGCTTAGCTTTTGAAATGCGTCTTTGGCCATCCCAATACGTCTTTGGATCTCAGCTTCGCACTTTCTCTGTCAGAACACTTCCCAGATCTTTAAACTTCTGTATCTGCTTGATGTTAATGTCCCCGACCTGTAAATTGCATTTTGGGCTTATCATTTTGCTTATGACCATGCATTCTGTCTTCACGCTCTCCTTCACTAAGTACTGTTGGGGGATTTGTAATTTCCTTAACCTGTCTGCTATCAACACTGTGTCAACTGCATATCTTATGTTAAGATTGTGGCTGCCAAGGATGAATTCTGGCAAAACTTCCAGTTCTCTCAGAGTTGCCACGCTGTATAAGTTGAAGTCCGGTGAGAAGACACATCCTTTCCTTACACCACTTTCTATTTTTGTATATCTGCTGACGTCATTTTTATACATATGCAGGTGGTTTGCTGCCAGTAGAATATTTATTTATTATTCTGATGTCTTTCCCGAAAGGACCATGACTAAACAAGCTCCAGGAAAAGAAAAGATGGTGATTGACGTTGCATGTAGAATTTTGAAGATTGTAGCTGCCATAGAAGGAAAAACTGGGAAAGATTTACCCATGCGAGAAAAGAAACTATTAAATGAGTACTTACGGTTACATCAGGCTTCTTCAACAGTAAAACACTGAAACCTTGTTGCTAGTCCAGTAGTATTATGGAATTCAGTTGTTGGTCGCGTTGAAGT